ACAAAAGAATAAACTAGTTTACATGAGCCGTATAATGAAAAATATATTTATATTTAGAGATACACTTTTTTTTCATACATCTTACACGATTTTTATTAGCAGCTATCTGCGTTAGTAGCTCTCGTGGCCGATGACCCCATTTTTTTTCTTCTGCATCACTCTCATGTTCGCTTTGACGTGGAAAGGGTTCGATTATAGCATTAAGGTAGTAGCTTAACGCCCCGGATGGCGGAAAACACGAGAGTTATGGCTCGTTAAGTATTGCAGTACCTACTACACAGGGGAATACACGCGAAGTTAAGTAATAGTGTACTCGTCGTACAACTAGTTGTATGAAACAATACGATGTATTTTTTACGCAGATTTTCCGACCAACTTGAAAACTATATTACTACGTTGTGTGTAACATTATTTATACAACACAATATATATCTTGATACGATGTTAAATAAGTAAATAAGTATAAAATTCGCTATCATTTGGAAAATCAAGATACCGCCCGTCCATCGAAGCATATTAATTAAAAAGTAAATGTTTGAAATCTTCCATTGTAAAGTTAAACATACCGCATTGGAGTCAACCATCGACATTTACTACGCAAACTTAATGTTAAAGTACAAATTATATTAATTGAATACTCAATCAATGTTATTCCACTGTCAGTTATTACACTAATAATACTAATAAAGCAAATGCTAGCATATTTTACCCATAGACGTGTGTACATAATTCGCTTTAATTTTTTACGATTCTGTTTTCAATATATTGGATTTATAAGTGGTATTTAGAATATTCGTGAAATTATCGAAAATGCAATTTTCATTTATTATTATTATTAAAAATTTATTAAAAATGTTCGCTGCATTCGCAATAAAATAGGTAACCTGCATTAATAAATATTTTTAAATATTAAAATATTAATATACATATGAGGAACAATTTTTGAGTTAGAAATGGCGTAAATATTCAATGATGAAAGATTTATATAAGCTACTCTAGGATGTTTAAAAAAGGATTTTTTTTCATCGTCAGTTTATATACTGGAAAAACCTAAACATTCAAAAAGTGCATTATGTCTTTTAGACAAACAAAATGCATTTGTTTAACATTTTTAATAATTGTGTTATTAATTGTGTTTAAATTGTTTAGCAATTCTGTTTAACATATCACTGATTGACATGTTATTTTTTAACACGTAAAGCACGCGGTTTTCTTGTGGCTTTCTTTTGCGTTTCTAGAAAATTATAAATTTTGGATGAAAATTTTGAAAGTCTACTCTTTATATACACGAGAATTACATTAAAAGTAATAAAAACAATTTTTTATACATTAAAATTTTTATTATTAAAAAATCAAATAAATTGAAACTGTTCGAGGGCGACCGCTAAAATCATAGATTGTGTCAATATGATCTTCAATTGAACGTAACAAGAAAGAATTGATAAAATAATTAAAGCAAAAGAGTTTGTAAACGAAATTGCAATAATATCGAGGCAATCCACAAAGTAGTGCGTCACTATTTTTGGATAGCTAAAACGGAGTTCTATTGTAAGGGAATATTCAAAATTTCTAGAAATGAAAAAAATCTATACAAAAAATCGAGATTACGTAGAAAGATAACCATAAGTCTGTAAATTAAAAATTCTATTTTTCAGTAACAAAAAATCAGGGATGGAAAAAAGTGACGCCGTTAATTTTGCCATCACTTTTTGTAATAACGATTTAGTAATGTAAAAAGAGTAAAAAAATAAAGAAAAAGTAACTCATCATTTATAACATATTAGCGTGTTTACATACTATTTTAACTCGTCGCAAGTAATAAGTTATTTTTTTCAATAAATAACACGAAATGGTGACAAATTGCTTTTAAAAAGTGATTTTCTCAACCTCAGCTTTCAGTTAGTTATTGTTATCGCCGTAAAAAATTGCAACGTTTTTATCAAATCGATTATAAAAGAAACAATAAAAATAAACAGCATTACTTATTTCTCATTTCTACAAAAAAATTTAATTTATAAAAAAATTGTTACTTCTTACTTTAAAGTTAGTTTATACTTTTTGTATAACCCTCGTGTTATTTTACAATATTGCCATTAAATTACAAACGGTTAAAAAATTCGTAGTCGTAAATTCGTAGTAAAAAAATAGCGATGTGAACTTTACTCCACGTGGTATTTCTACAATTCTCTGTATTGGCATTAAATTAACACCAACCTAATCGATTTAACATCATAGATTTTAAATTCATATACTCATGATGTTAAATCCATACCATGATGGTATCGATATAAATACCATGGGTTTTAAATTCACATTGTGTTGGTATTAATTTAATTATGACATAATATTTAATATTGATATTAATTTAACACCAACATGGTGAGTATATAGACACCGCATGAATGGTAAATTCACACCGACATTTTTTAAAATGTATAGTTTCTGCTCTTTTCTCTTCCATTCTCATACATACATACACACACATATACCTACACACACGCGTGTGCGCGCACGTGCACGTGCACAATTCACATGTATAATATCAAGAATCTCAACTCTCGACACAATTTGACAAAAGTTGGCACAGTACAATGCAGCGGATATAAAATACACCGGCGACAGTCGGTCGTTTGACAAGACGAAACGTTATATTCTTTGAGAAATATCGTCGTCGGGAATGGTCTTCATTATGCCTCGCTTCCGTAAGTCGCAACATGGAGATTCCGAGCCGTGCATATCGTAAAAAAAACGATGGTTATCACACGGAAACGGAAAATCGTGAAAATCTCGGCACATCGGGGAAGTCGGCTGCCTTTGCTGTGCGAATCCGATGAATTTCTCGTTTGTGCAATTCAGCCGAGTAATCTAATGAGCAAACGCCGCGAACTTGGCGCGCGGACCGGAAATTGAAGTATACATTATGAAACGTGCCATTGGTGCGGTGTTTCCTATGCAAGCCGCGTGTCGCCGTCGCCGCCATCGCCATCGTCGGCATCATCGTCATCGTCGTCGTCGTCGTCGCGATCGCGAAACCAGGTCGCGCATGTCGCGCGCGCGGCCTTATCCCCGAATTCGCAGGCTTCGCACTCGAGGAATTGCAGTTTTCTGATTCGCGGCCATTCCGCGGCCTGTAACGATGAATATTTAGCGACTGGTACGTGACTCCGTTGAATATCCGGGTTGAGCCGAAGGATGGTTTTCAAAAGGAATCTTTCTCAGACGAACATAACTCGCGAAACAGGGAAAATATAATTTATTGAGTTTGTCAAATGTATATCCTTTGGATGTCTTTCTCCGCATTACCCGCAATGGCATTTCTCTCATAATAATTTTTCGCATAAATCCCGCGCACCCTTTATACAGAGGTAATAGCAGACGTTGGATTAAAAACGCTCACGGGTTTATCATATGGCGCGCGATATAAATGAAATATAGAGTTACACTCTGGTATACATACCGCGATAAATGTGATAATTCTAATTTAAATTACTCGTTTCTGTGTGATATCCGCAGTGCATCCTGAGTGTAGTTATTGTTATTACTTTTGTCCGTTTATAATTATTCCGCGTGGCGCATTGTATTCACGCGTAACTTCTTCGTGGTTACAATTTCCGCAAAATTATCGAGTCTCATATCGTTGGAGAATAATTCCTCATTACTAATCGTACATATAAGATATGAGAATCTTCGCGATCGTCAAAGTTGAACGTAGCTTTTAGCTTAAACACTACTCCTTGCTGAGAGCTTTAGGATGACAAACCGTCGCAAATTGACGATTCAGAAGAGTTTCGTTTATTTACGAGTCTGATAAATATGACTGTAAAATTCATATTTGACTCTCTCTCTCTCTCTCTCTCTCTCTCTCTCTCTCTCTCTCTCTCTCTCTCTTTCTTTCTTTCTCCGATCTCTTTTGCTTAACTTAGTCGGTCAAACTTCGTCAGTGGATAGAATTTACGCGCATAATTAATCTTTTATACAACAGGGATTAATTAACTCGTGCAAATTTATTCGCAGCCAAAGGTTCTGTACATCCATCGATCCCTATTATTATGGATACTGAGAATGGATGATGCGCAGTTCGGAAAGTGCCATCATTACTTGAAATTTTATCGAAATTATATGTAACATCAAGTGTACGACAAAATGACATTTTGGTAAAAATTCTGTAGTTAAACAATTTCGAAAATCAAAGGATATGAAATAAAAGTTTTTTTCTCTATAAATAAACCAATTCTATTTTATTAATTTATTCTTTTCGGAGAATATATTTATTTTTCATATGCATTCTGTATGCGCAATATAAAATTAAATTAAACAATTTTCAACCGCAAAGGAGTTTTCTGAATCAATTTCAAATTTTAGCATAGATTATTATTATTCGCTACAATAGTTGTTTTGCATGCTAAGTTCGATCGCCGCAATAATATAAACGTCAAAACGAATGTCAAGCGCCTATACCGATTTTATAATTATATTACTCGTATAAAAAGACGAAAATTGTGAAAATTGTATGAACATTTATTTCTCATTGGTCGAAAGAACCATTGCGTTTATTAAACGAGAAAATTGTACTCGTAATTAAATCTGAATTAATCTCGAAGCACCTCAGATTATCCATTTCATATTATTATATGTAATATATATATATAGTATTGTAGGTATTGCAATACAATTTTCGTATTTATCATCTAAATATAAGTACTCATGGTATAAAGTGTTCATCATTATATAATGATTGTCTCTCTCTCTCTCTCTCTCTCTCTACGTTTTCTATATAGATAATAATTATACGATAAAAATCTTAATGTAGATATTAAAACTCAGATGGATATTCATTCTATCAGTAATGCTTTCATATATTTCTACAGAAAAGTAAAAGAGTATTCGAGTTATTAGGGAAAATGATTTATAATGGAATTATTTCGTTATGTTCAAAGAATGCTTGAAATGTTATTTCATATCTTTTAATTTATAATTTTTTCATTTCTGTGTTTGCGCAGGAGTGGACGGACTACAATCTCCAGTGGAACGAATCCGAATACGGCGGAGTGAAGGACCTTCGAATTACGCCGAACAAGCTTTGGAAACCGGATATCCTCATGTACAACAGGTAATCTGGCCTCGTTACATCTGCGTAGAAACTCTCATTTTGTATTGACAAGCCAGTAGCTTCGATTAACAAATTTGTTAGGAGCATTTCAGTCTCGGGCGCGAGAGGAGGGTTGGCCAGTCCCTCCCATAATAGAATTCTTAATTGAAATGGTCGGACAAAAAGCCGCGTACTAACTACGCTCGTAATCATCGTGTTAATAAAGTGTGCCCAGTAAAAATGCACGTCCACAGTCTGATTTCCCAAAATTTCGCGCTCTAAAATTCGGAAAGTATTTTAATATTTGAGACGATCTAATTGCGTGAAGATATTTAAACCAAGATAATTTTGAATTGATAATAACAGCGTAAAAAGAGAGAGAGCAAAGTCTAATTCTTCTCACGTTACAATAATCGGAGAATAACGGCAACCGAAATTGTTGAGACGCAAAAATAAATATACGATGAGTTTACGTTATACCAAATTTTTATTCCTCTACACAATATTAAGTAATTCACCGTGATATAGTTGCAATTGCTACGTATCGATGAAGCTAACCTCCCACGGGATTTTTGTTAGCTCGGTCGCGATTCTAGGCTGTCGATATTTCAATAGTTACCGTTTACGCGAAATCGTCGAAAAACCGACAACCATACGAATAGTTTTACATCGACTCGTAGGATTCACATGACAATTGCAAAAGTACAATCGCAATCGTGAAATAAACTGGTGCGACTTTATTATCGTAAAAATAAAACTGCACGAACTATATTTGCCCCGAGTAAGCAGCCCACGTTGAATTTCTTCGATGGATTTTAAACAGCTGCCACTTGTCCGGAAGGCACACCCCCTCTGCACTCTTACGAGAGAGAATTAAGATTTTTAAGAATGTCTTTTTCAGAAAAGCTGCGACGGCTAAGAAATAGCGCGGCAGTAGCGCCACTGCAGCAAAAGTTTTTTCATTAACTTTAAGTTCGCTCCCTTGGAGACACTCCATACGGAGCGTAAATTATTTTCGATGTATACCTCGTACTCTTTTCACGTGCCGTTACGGTATTGCGAATGTAGTATTAAAAAAAAAAAGAAAAAATCGAAGGGTACGTAACTTTTATCCTAGTGTTGCTTCGCATCTCTCTTATTCGAAAGTATTATATATATTATACATATACATATATATATTTCTTTTATATATTAAAATTCCCTGAAATGCATGCATTTACTTGAATCCTAGTAAGAGCCGAGTATATATTATACATTTATATACTCTTGTACTATGTATATCTTTACATTTTTCATTTGTAAATATTGTATCCACGTAATTATTGACCCCGATCGTAGAAATTTTTCTTATACGACGGATCGACTCGCTTCTCGCTTCGTATCGGTCTCTATACAATTTATATTTCGTCGCAAATAATAATAAATACGAAGTCGCGAAGCGAATCGAGCCAAACTTTCGAACGCAGTTATTACGCAGATTTTAATTGAAAGGCTAGAGTATATAACGAGTTGCATAACTACCAGTCATTTTCATTTATCGAAAAATTCTTAAGTCAACCACGTCGTACGTTTCGCGAGGAAAAGCAGAGATTTGCAAGGAAAATTGTTTGGACAATCACTATTTTATGATTGAAATGGCTCGAAGAGCGAACGCGACGTTGAGAAAAAATATCAAATCAAGAATCTCCGACTTAAAACAATCTCTTCTTTTTTTAGAACAATAGCACGCCGTGGCTGGCTTATAGTCTCAGCCATTCTCTCTATCATAGTCTCTAGAATAATTAGTCTTAGGTATTTATAGGCTACTAGTTATATATAATACATACAATTTCCAGGCTGCTGTACGTGAACGCATTTATGCGATTCACGTTCGGCGAACCGCAAAATTAATACTTCCGTCGCCCGCTGCCAGCCGATTCGCGTGATAACAAAGCGGACAATGTTGATCGCGTGATCGGCCCGCTTCATCGTGTCCGTTCTCGTGCCTCGCAACTAATGCAATGCGGCTGATGCATAAGTTACACGTTTTTGATCGCCTGACGCGGAGTAATCAGATGGAACGGAATGCGATTTGTTACAAATATCAGGAGAGAACATTGATAATCGGGTGAAAAACTGGTTTTCTGTAAATTTCGATATTTTTTTTTTTTTTTATATCGACAGTAACACAACCACTGTGCACTAACTAATCCTGTCGTGATTGAAAACGGAATAGCGAATAAATTCGGGCGGTTTAATTATAAAAGCGGCGGATGAAATAACAGCGTTTCGATTTGGAGGTTGAACCAGATTCTCCCTTCCCTCCTTCACGTACGTTACACGCTCCGATTATTTTCGATCGGTTCGTGGATATTCGTCGTTCGACCAGGCGTAAATTAGATATTCGTCACCAACTGTCGACGACTATTGGCTTGGACCGAATTAACAATCAAATATGATTAGGATCGTGATCCATATCCAGAATGAAATTTCGAACCAAGTGGTGCAGCTCATAATAAAACACTTTTTTTTTTTACAAAATTTTAGATTAAGTGTAATCGAGAACTGCGTTTGATCTGGTGTATCAATCCTTTCCAAACTTATATTATGATCATAAACGAAACGCTTGTGTCATATTGTTAATCGCTCCTGATAAAAATAATCATTAAAAATAGAAAAGCGTGACAATTTCTTTTAAAAAGTGCAAATAGATAATAGAACTAAGTTAAAGAGATAAAGAAATTTATATGAAGTTATTAAGATTATTTAAACAGAGGAAGAATAATTTTTAATAAACTGCGCATTTTAAAAACGCTATTAAACAAAATTAAATATAGTATATGAATAGGGATCAGAGAATTAAAAATTAATTAAATAAGTAATAAAAAGAATCAATTAGCCAGGCAACGATGTTAATGCAAATTACAATAATTACAAATATTGTCTATACGTTTTGATTTATATTAAATTTTTCAAAGAACATTTAAAAACTGACAATAAAAACGTATGTATGTAAAGTTACTAATCAATCGCTATATAATAATAGATCGCTCACTAGATTTTTATACATTTCGTTTAGTTCATAAAAGATTTGTGATGGTAATTACTTCTGGTGTAAAATTAAAAATAATCATAACAATTCGAATATAAATAAAATTAGTTTCAACCAGGCTAATTTAATAAATTGGTAGAAAAATAGATGTGAAGAGTGATGCATAAAGTAGTGAATCAAATGATCTACGACATTTAACTGTGATAAATAAGAAAAAGAAAAGACAAAGCCGTGTCGTCGGCATATGGCAGAGAAAGACAATATGTAGACTGATTCAAAAGTGCAATGAGAAAAGTGAAAGACACTAAGTGGAAAGAGGAGGAAATGGTCAGCCAGACAGGCCGAATCCACCTCCGACCGCAACTAACAACTATCCAAGTTAGCTAGCCCGAGGTCGGAGTGAGAGAAATTTCTCGCTGGGAACTGCCGGCGCTCTGGTAAAGTGTGCGGGATCACTTCAATTAATTAAAGTCTCGTCTCGAGGAAACTTTGCCTTTGTGGGTATCATGGGAGCGTACAATGACTCGGGACTACCGGACGACTTTCCCGTGACCGACGCGCAAACCGGAAATTAATTTTTCAAGAACACACGCGCTCGGTAAGATCTTTTCTTTCTTGGTAATGATTTAGATACAAAAATTAAAAATTCGAAAGAATTTTTAATTTCTGATACGTAGAGAGTACGAATAGACGGCTCCGAAGTGTAAATGATGGCTTGTTAACCAAAAGTGACATTAGAGATCGATAGGAACACTGATGACTGGACAAGTTAAGCTTGGATTTCGATGGGTCTCTTCAGTGATCATTTTCAATTTGCTGCTTGTCCCTCCGCGAATACCGAGATCAATTTGTAATGAGTGCTCATTGTTTCATCGACGGTTCGCCATAACGTACTGTACTGTCCCGATGCAATTGCATTTATTCGTAATCATTCGTGTCGTGTTTCGTACGTATATAAATGTGTTTACAGGGGCATTCATAAGAGGAAAGATATTTAATCCTAGAATGCTACTGACATTGAGTGATATAGTTATTGTTGCTATATTGATAGGTAAATTTTACATGCTGGGGAAATAGGTTACTTTTAATTAATGTAACACCAGATTTTCATATATTTCACATTTTTAATGATAAAATATTTATAAGGCTTTTATCTGGATTGAGAAAGTTACCTTGTAAAAATAACTATAATTACAGTTTTTCTTCTTAAAAAATAACTAGTTACTGTCACAAATTATTGTCATAATTTTATAAGGATTTAAAATGTTAGTCGTTACTTTTCAATCATTTTTTTATTAATTTATTATAATTTTTTGCATTGCTATTTTAAATACAAAAATTTTATATATTTCTAACGTTACTGATTTATCTTAATTATTATACTAAACATTCACATATTAAACATTCACATATTAAAAGACTTCTAGTTTGATTCTTACAGACATTTGCAGATGTGATGATTTTATTAGGTGTAAAGATGTATTCTAATCACAATAAATAATCACTGATCAATCCATATTAAAGAAAAAGTTTAAAATACATAAAATAAGTAAAAATAAATAAAATTCTAATTATTAAATTAGTTACCAAAAAATAACAAATTTGATTGGTAGCACTCGGTGCGCTTTGGTACACATTAAAGCTATCATACACAAATTGACATAAAGATATGTGTTTAATATAAATATAGATGTTGATTAAATGTAAAATCCTCAACACACTTTATTGTGCTATTAGATAAAATATATATTTTATAATTCAAAATATTTAATTTTACACTCCGATTTAATCAATATAACGGCTTTAATGTGCATCAGTGCACACTAATGCGTCCAACTAAATTTGCTATAAATTAACTTACTGTTGTAAATAGAAAGAAAGGAACAAAGTTAAGTTACAGTTACTGAAAAAAGTAACTTTAACTGTAACTTTGTTACAAATAATGAGTTACTTCCCTCTCTGAGTTTTATAAACACAAAGGAAGAAAGAG